TTCTTCCCATTTGATCTTCCTTGTCTAGAGGGTCTAAAGGGACCAGCTCCCCATTTCAGCAGCCATAACAGCCTAGCACATGCTTGCCTGACCTTGCCTTGGTCACTAGGTCAGATGCCTGACTCCTGGCAAGGAACCAATCAGAAGTTAGCTGGTGGTGCTATGCTTTATGGCTCTGGGTGTGCTTTATGGACAAGCACACAGCAATGACACACAGAGCATAGCAACCACCCTGGGAGGGCCTATGGGCCATAAAAACCAGTTGACCAATCAACACAGGGCAAGCCCTCCAAGCCTGGAGGCACATCAATCCTGAGCCTGTGAGTACCCCTAGACACTCCCCTTACGCTGCCCTATAAGATCTCTATGCTGTGGCTTCGCAGCATCATTTCTAGCCATCTGCCATGGCGGGTGGATGAAAGACCCGAGCTAACATGGGGTTAGCTCGTTAAACAATTACAATAAAGCCTCGTGCTGTTTACATCAAGCTTTCGCCTACGCATGGTGATTGGGGTGACCGAGGTCCTGGGCTGAGATCCTGGGGGCCTGAGCCTCCGGGGGTCTTTCAGGTCCTTGCCTTGGGCTAGCAGAGGGGACAGCTTGAGGGTGTCAAGTGACAGGACACAAGAGGCCTTAGCACCCCAACCTCTCTATTCTACAAGCCAAGTTGTGTACCCTACAAACTTTCTTGTCCTTTTTGCAACCCCTATCAAAGTTTCTTCCTATCCCTTGCAGGAGTGAACACCACTTTGGTTCCAATATTAACTCAGTGAAGAAGTTCCAGTATTTAACAAAGGCGGGAGCTCAGCTGGTAGGCACTTGTCTAGGATACACAAAATCTATCCCCAGCACTGCCAAAACAGGGCATGGTGGCACATGGCTGTAATCCCAGTATTTGGGAGACAGAGGTAGAAGTGTCAGAAATTCAAAGCCATCCTTACCTACATAGCAAGCTCAAGGCCAGGTTGGCCTATGTAAAAACAGTTCTAAAAAGTAGAAACAGTTCTAAAAAGAGTTTGAAATTTTGAACAAAAGAAAGGATTTATACTGGTGAGGCTCTCCCAGAGGGTGAAGACATGAGTGTCACCTTCTTTGCAAGCCAAGTTTCCATGAAAAGAAATAAAGTCATAGAACATCAACTCAGACTGCTAGCTGTCACAACTCAGCAACAGGTCCAGAGTGAACTCAGGAGGCGGCTGGCCCCTCCTGCTCTAGCCAGGAGTACTGCAATACTGTTTTCCTGGGAGTTTTTCAATCCAAAGCTCTAACAGGACGTGGCTACAGTCAGAGTCTTCCACAAGTCCTTGGGAGGCCTAGGCCCCACTCCCAGTATCAAACCATTCTTTCATAAAATGATCACAGTGAGGCCCAGTATGTAGGAAGCAGAATGGTCCTCCATCTTGACACTCAAAGTGATCCAGGAAGGGCCATCTCAGGGGAGTTTCTAGGCTTTCCATATACAGGATTGTAGAAAGCAAGTCATTATGGCCAAAACTGTCCTGGACATAATCAGCTGAATAATATCATACTGACTACAAACCACAACTCACATGGGACACAGCAAGAGGTATCCTGCAGCCACACCTGTGTTCTGTGTCACCTTGCTGGCATGTCCCCCAGAGAGCCAGAGTTATTGACCCAGCCTGAAGTCTCAGGAGATGGATGCATCTTGAAGTGGAAAGGGCTGGCTAACAGTTCAGCAAGTGGTACAAAGAACAGGAAAAGTCTAAGCAGCAGAGGGCCAGGGCCAGGTTACCCAGCAGAAGGTATTGTTTTGTTTTGTTTTCCAGTTTTAAATTTTAGGTGTATGGGTATTTTGCTTGCATGCCATGTCTGCACACCATATGCATGCAGAACCTGTGAGGGTCAGAAGAGGGTGTCCATCTCTAGGACTGAAGTAGATGGTTGTGAACTGCCATGTGGGCACTAGGAACCAAACCTGGGTCCTCTCGAAGAGCAGCCAACACTCCTAACTGCTGAGCCATTACTCTAGCTCCACAATAAACATTTCTGAAGGGTGTTGGTAAGTTCCAGGGCTTTGCTTAGACCCAGGTTGTGGGAAGAAACAAAACCAATGTAGGATTTCTAGAATTCCCATTGTGATGAAAGCAGGATCCAAAGCCAGCAGTCTAGACCAAGAACAGCCTTGATGTCACTACCAACCATAGTTCCCAGAAGAGCCACTAGCAAGTGAGGAGCTGAGCAGGGGCTGGCACCCTTCAGCAGCAGAGCCTCTGTACCCTAACTCTCCCACCTCTGTACACACAGTGCTTCCAGAAAGCAGTTCCTTCTCTACTTATAGCTGTGAGCCGTAGGCTACCTGCACCATCCTGAAAGCTCTAGAGAATGCATGGCATGTGCTGTGGGGACAGGAGTCTAGAAGACATAGTAGCCCAAAATGGGTAGCATTAAAAACACACACACACACACACACACTTCCAGAAAGAGGGGAAAGGGGTAGTGGGATCACCTTGTCACATTTCTCTGATAGTGAATGGGAAGGAAAAGTTAAAGACAGAGCTATGGGGACTAAAGAGATGGTTCAGTGATAAGAGTACTTGCTGTCCTTGCAGAGTACCTGTGTTCATTTCCCAGGACCCATATGCTCATACCCATCCTTAACTCCAGTTCCAGAGGATACATTGGCATCTCCTGACCTCCAAAGGGACTAGGGATCCACATGGTGCACAATCACACAAACAGACAAAACACTCATATACATAAAAATAAAAAGGGAGTCTACTTAACAGGGTGAAGTGGCCTGACACTAGTCATTTCAATAGCTCAGTGTACATGGTAAAGGTGCACAGCCAGCAAAAGCGAGAACAGGAGGCAGAGGGCAGGGCACTGGCTACAGAGATCGCCAATGTTTGGTGGCTTTGGGCCTCCGTTTTCCTTATCAGAGTGCAGAGGTGGTGGTGTGTGCATTAGTCTCTAGAGATACTCTAACAGACTGTCAGGCTTCAAACAGCAGAAGCTGATCCCACAGCCTGAAAACTAAAGAGTACAATCAGGTGTCAGCAAGGCCACACTTGAAAAGGCAAGGGAAGCCGGGCATTGGTGGCGCACACCTTTAATCCCAGCACTCGGGAGGCAGAAGCAGGTGGTTCTCTGTGAGTTCGAGACCAGCCTGGTCTACAAGAGCTAGTTCCAGGACAGCCTCCAAAGCCACAGAGAAACCCTGTCTCGAAAAACCAAAAAAAAAAAAAAAAGGCAGGGGAAGAATTTGTTCCTGGTGATAGCTAGTTGTCCTTGGAGTAGCGAATGGAAGTAGAGAGAACCCCAATCCCTGCTTCCATCCCCATGGAAGTCTTACAGAACATCATCACTGGATCAGGAGCTGCCACCATATTCATCTTTTTTTTTTGGGGGGGGGGAAGGGATAGGCTTTGAGACAGGGTTTCTCTGTGGCTTTGGAGGCTGTCCTAGAACTAGCTCTTGTAGACCAGGCTGGTCTTGAACTCAGAGATCCACTTGCCTCTCCCTCTGCCTCCAGAGTGCCGTGATTAAAGGCATGCTCCACCACTGCAGAGCTCACAATATTCATCTTAACTTAGTTACATCTGCAAAAACTATATTTCCTAGTTGGAGAGGAGACTCAGTGGTTAAGAGCACTTATTGCCCTTGCCAAGGACTAGAGTTCAATTCTAGCCTGCAACCACCTGTAACTCCAACTCCAGGGGATCCAACATTCTATCTGGACTCTGCTGGCACTGCCCTCATGTGAACACACACACCACATAATCTTAAAAAAGAAAAAAAAAAAACCCTTTAAAATCTACTACTAGCATTCACAGGTTCTGATCAACAGGCATGTTGTCTTCGGGGTGCTACTCAACCCAGACAGAGCACTTCTTCAAGAGGAGCGAACATATCTGGTGCGCAGGACCTTGCATACAGTGTTTCACATGAAGGGCAGCTCCCCTTCATTGTTTCTGGCCAGCAGCAGCTGTACAGACATTACACAATTGTATCTAGGTTTTTCTTCCATTTTAAGTCTAGGCAAGAAACTTCCTGGAACTAGAATTCCAGATGTTAAGGACAGAATTAGAGTCCAGTGGGGTTATTACCATTCAATACCCTTTCACCACAGGCTGGAGAAAATGTCTGCTATAGTCACCGGGCTGCTTCTGTGATGTTGGGATGAAGCCCAGGGTCTTGACATGCTAGAGTAGTGCTTTCTGCTAAGCTATGTCCCCGAGCCTGTCATTTGTTTATGAACAAAGCAGAATATTGTATTCACAGGAGTGGGTGAGCCCTCTAAAGCAGTACTTCATGAGGGTCTGCATGGGAAGTTTACAGAGCCATGCAAAGGCTGCAGCCAAGGACAGCAGTCTCCTCACCTCAGTCCACAAGACAACTTATTACATGCCAGCAATTATAATATTCCTGACCACATTCAGACATTAAAGTCACTCTTTGCAATGGAGATCTGTTATCTATGAGGATGTGCTGTTCAAAGAGAACATCTGCATATGCCTCTAACCCAGCCCTGGACAGCTGGAGGAAGGGATATAGAGTGAGGGGTGTGGAACCAGCCAGGACTTTACAGGAAAACTCTGTCTCAAAACAATCAAAAAAGGACCCTGCTTTTGCTTCTCCTTCAGTGAAGACTTAAACACCTACCCAAATGAAAGAGGTGGAAGGTGGAGAGATAGCTCAGCAGGTCAAGGTGCCTGCCACAAGCCTCATGACAGACACACATGCTAGTGGCACAAGTGAGTACAGGCTGAACAAAACTGCATACAAACACAAACACTAAACAAAAATATAAACAACTGTTTTTTAAAGATTCATTTATTTATTTATTATGTATACAGTGTTCTGTCTGCATGCATGCCTGCACAACAGAAGGGGGCACCGGATCTCATTATAGATGGTTGTGAGCCACCATGTGGTTGCTGGGAATTGAACTCAGGACCTCTGAAAGAGCAGTCAATGCTCTTAACCTCTGAGCCATCTCTCCAGCCCCAAAACAACTGGTTTTAAGACTTCTTTTACTCTGTGTGTGTGTGTGTGTGTGTGTGTGTGTGTGTGTGTAAACCAAATATGTGTAGGTACTTGAGGAGGCTAAGAAAAGGCATTGAATTCCATGGAGCCACTAGTTATGGATGCTGGAAATTGAATTCTGTTCCTCTGTTCTCCAGTCCTAAAGAAAGAAAGGGGGGGGGGGGATCAAACTCAAGACTTAACCACTCTTGACATCTAAATTCTAGATTGAAAAGTTGTTGAAATTTAAATATTCAAATTAATAAATACATATAGTACTCAAAAGAACAAGAAGTCATTTTTTATAATTTCAAGATACAAAAGTATACTTTTTTCTAAACACTGGTCTCATGGCAGAAAAGACTGTTAGGGAAAAACATCTGAATGTCAAAAAATGTAAAATCTAAAGGCAGAAGATAACTGCATAAACAATGCTGAAAAACAAATGGGATAAGTTATAGTTCGTGTGTGTCAGTAAGCAAAACAATCAGAAGGGGGCTGGGGGTGTGGCTCAGAGGTTAAGAGCACCGACTGCTCTTCTAGAGGTCCTGAGTTCAATTCCCAGCAACCACATAGTGGCTCACAACCATCCGTTATGAGATCTGGAGCCCTCTTCTGGTGTGCAGATATATATGGAAGCAGAATGTTGTATACGTAATAAATAAATAAAATCTTAAAAAAAAAAGTAACAAGACAAAACAATCAGAAGGCTGGAGGTGTGGCTCAGTGGTAGCATGCTCGTCCAGCTTGCATACATAAAGATGATTAACCTTAAGACAGAAATGGTGGGGCAGGCCTGCAATCCTAGCACTTGTGAGATGGATACAAAAGGATCAGTTCAAAGTAGCCTCAACTTTTAGTTTGAGACAACATGAGCTCAGACAACATGAGACCCCCATTCAACTTTTTATTGTCAAAGAAGTGAAAACCAATACATGTGAAGCCCTGGGTAGATGCTTACTACAAAAGTAAGTCAGTCCTACTGGAGTGACTGTTTCAGTTAATAGTTTCTAAGCATTTTCCTTAGCCTAACTGATGATCCTTAATAAAACCCCTTCAAATAGGTACCATTATTACCCTCCCCTACCAAGAAGAACTGAAGGACACAGGAAGGTAAATGACTTACCCAAGGTCAAGCAGGCTAGCTCCACAGTCACATTCTGAAGCATGGTGTTACCAGACCATGTCTCCTACCTGTCACCTGGGGAACACATGCAAACACAAGATTCAGTGCTCTTAGAACCACAGGGAAACCACCAGGCATGGTGGTACCAGAACACCTTTAATTCAAGCACTCAGGAGACAGAAGCAAGTGGGTCTCTAGGAGTTGAAGGCCAGCCTGATCTATCTAGTGAGTTCCAGGCTAGGAAGGCTATACAGTGAGACCCTGCCTCACAATCAACAACTTTGAGTGCACATATTCATCACACACGATACTGTGTTATACATGGCATTTTCACACAAGTACACTGTATACTGTACACACTCCCCACCTCTACCCTCCAATGTCTTACCCCACTCTCATTAGAGCCTTACATGTCATACATACATATATGATTTTATTTATCTAAATAAACCTAGAAACCACACATGAAAGAAAGCACAGCATGGTTTTGTGTGTCGGAGACTGATTAATTAGAGAAAAGAGTGGCTTCAATGGCACTGTACAGCCCAGGCTAACCCAGCTTGACATTCTTTTGTTTGGGGTTTTTTTGGTTCTGTTTCAGTCTTTGAGACATCACCTCATGTAGCCCAGGAAGGCCTTGAACCTACTATCTTTGAGACATCACCTCATGTAGCCCAGGAAGGCTTTGAACCTACTATGTGCAGAGGCTAACCTAGAATTCTTGATCTTCCTATCTCCATGCCCTGACTACTAGGATTATAACTATGTGCCACTTGAAAGTTACATTCTTGAGGAAAGCTGGCTTCATGAACTAGTGTGGTAAATGGGCATACACTTTAACTCTGCTGTGCCATTTCTTAGAATTTCTTCTAAGGTGACTACAGTAGACAATGATATACATATATATATATGCACACTGTGTACATAATACCCAATAAAATAATAAAAGTCACATTCAACCACTCAATGCTTAAGCATCACGTGTATACGAGGAACTGTTCCAAGCAGGTGCTGAGAAATACCTAAAATGGGGAAGAAAAACTATTTGCCTGAGCCAGACGGTGGTGGCGCACACCTTTAGTCCCAGCACTCAAGAGGCAGAGGCAGGCGGATCTCTGTGAGTTCAAGACCAGCCTGGTCTACAAGAGCTAGTTCCAGGTCAGCCTTCAAAGCCTGTCTCAAAAAACCAAAAAAAAAAAAAAAAAAAAAAAAAAAAAAAAAACTATTTGCCTGGAGCTTGGATTCTATTGGAAAGAGGTAGGTAATAAAAAATGAGAAAAGTATGCAATGAATCAAACAGTATGAAATGTTATTGATAAAAGCAAGAGGGAAGAAATACAGGGACTTTCAACATATCAAGTAAAGTGTCAGAGCCATGTGCTGTTGACAACATGAAATGAATCAATTAAATATTATGAAATAAAAGCACCATGATGCAACCACTCAAGTGAAATAATTCAGCCATCTACTGCTGCATCCCACAAAGCTTGGTCTTAGAACTCTTACCAGGGGCACTGAAGGAATGAAGAAAGGACATATATGTACCGAAAATATGGGGTGAGGCAAGCTGCACATTCTCTGATAGAGGTGCCCTGAAACTCCAGAGCCTTTATTTGGGATAGCACAGGAGGGAAGAAGCTAATCTTGGTGGAGGAGTCTACAGGACTCAGTCTTAGCTGTAAACAGCAAGGAGGAAGAAGCTGCAGTTGCTAGTTTTTGCCCACATTGATCATTAGTAAACATTCTAGTACTTGGTCCAGAGGAGGAAGGCTTAGCCCATGCTGAGTCTGAACCATATGAGGAAAGGCTTTACCAATTTCCCATGGGTTCAAGGCTTTGGTCCTTGCCCATGTCAGCAATAAACATTCACTCAGGACTTCACTGGCTCTTTATGATCTATTCTGTACTTGTCTACATGAAAACGGGTCTTTATTTGTTTTTTTTTTATATTTATTCATCATTTGTAAGACAGGTTCTCTCTATGTAGCATGACTCTGTCCTAAAACTGGCTATATAGGCCAGGCTGGTCTTGAAACTCACAGAGATCCTCTTGCCTCTGCCTCAGGAGTGTTGGTATTCAAGGCATGTGCCATGATGCCAGGCATGAAAATGTGTATTTGTTGTTTAAACTATTTTTGTTGTTGTTTTATGTATACAGGTATTTTGCCTGCATGCATGTCTGTGTACCACATGGTGCAGTGCACCAGAAGGCCAGAAGAGGACATCTAGATCTTCTGGAGCTGCAGCCAGTTCTGAACTACCTTATAAGTACTGGGAAATAAACTCCCGTCTTTAGGAAGAGCAACCAGTGCTCTTAAGGGCTGAGCCATCTCTCCAGCCCCAACAGATATCTTTAACAGTCAAGTTAAATAAAATCAGCTGTCAAACTATATGGGTTCCAGTGCCAAGAAAGGGAAGTGTACATAGGCTTTCACACCTAACCAATAAGCTACCTGCAATACCTGCTTGCAAAGGAAAAATTAGTTTTCGCCAATGAGTCTTCTGAGTATATTGACCACACTTCAGGAGAGCCTTCATGCCCAGCAGTAGATGGCAAACAAAACAAACTCAGTACTTTTTAGACTTCATTTCATACTGCTTTGTTTGGGCTGTTGTTTGTTGTTGTCATTGGGTGTGGGGAGGACCTGGGAGTAGTTGGGGGAGGGAAAATCATGATCAAAATATAATGTATAAATTTTTTTAAGATTTATCTTGGGGGCTGGAGAAATGACTCAGAGGTTAAGAGCACCAACTGCTCTTCCAGAGGTCCTGAGTTCAATTCCCAGCAACCACATGGTGGCTTAAAACCATCCGTTATGAGATCTGGTGCCCTCTGCTGGTGTGCAGATATACATGGAAGCAGAATGTTGTATACATAATAAATAAATAAAATCTTAAAAAAAAAAAAAAAGATTTATCTTTAGGGCTGGAGAGATGCTCAGAGGTTAAGAGCACCAACTGCTCTTCCAGAGGTCCCGAGTCCAATTCCCAGCAACTACATGGTGGCTCACAACCATCCGTTATGAGATCTGGTGCCCTCTTCTGGTGTTCAGATATACATGGAAGCAGAATATTGTATACATAATAAATAAATAAAATCTAAAAAAAAATGACTAAAATAAAAAATATATTTAAAAAAAGATTTATTTTTATGTGCACTGTTGGCTCACCTGAATGTGTTGTTAGGGTGTCAAATACCCTGGAACTGGAGCTATACAAACAGTTGTAAACTGTCATGTAGGTACTGGGAATTGAAGTCAGGTCCTCTGAAAGAGCAGCCAATGCTTGTAACCACTATACCACCTCTCCAGCACTGTTATTTTTTTGTTCCCAAGACAGGGTTTTTCTGTGTAGCCCTGGCTGTCCTCAAACTCAGAGATCCACCTGCCTCTGCCTCCCAAGTGCTAGGATTAAAGGTGTGTGCCACCACAGCCTGTGGGGGAAAAAAAAAAATTCAACTAAAAAAATAAAACAGCTGGGTGGCAGTGGCACACACCTTTAATTGCACCACTTGGGGAACAGAGGAAGGCAGATCTTAGAGAGTTTTAGGCCAGCCTCGTCTACAAAAGGAATTCCAGGACAGCCAGGACTATACAAAGAAACCCTGTCTCAAAAAACAAAAATAAATAAAATAAAAATCATTTAGAAGTGGTGATATCTGTCTGTGATCCTAGCCATCAGGTAGCCCAAGCAGGAGGATCTCAAGTTTGAGGACAGCCTGAGCTACATAGCACGACCTGGTCTCAAAACAAGCAAAATCACAGAAGGGTCTGTGCTCATAATCTACTAATAGCTGGGAAAGAAGAACAATCCATAGAAAGGCAGAAATATTAACAGAGGTCTAGGCAGAATGCCAGACCAGTGGCCCTCCCACCCACTCACTCCACCTCCAAGATGTTCCAGAGGGGACTTAAGGACAGCAAAGGCCAGTCATTTCACAGTCCCCACACTCCCTCCTCTTGGCCAGAAGCCTGGCTACTCAAGGTTGAAATAGGAGTCTGAGGAAGGTGAAGGCAACCATCAAGCAATCTGGACAGGATAAGGAAGACAGGTCCCAGGAAGCACAACTCCCAGAAGATCCCTGGGGTCTGAAGCCAGGCCACTTAGTGCCTTCTTCTCCTCCTGAGCTCCAGATGCCTACAGGAAACGAGACTGACACATCACAGGGAGGTAACAGGCCACAGCAGACCAGAGTCCCTCCCCTAGCACACAAGTATCTAACTCTGTTGTGGTGAGCACAAGTATCAGACCTAGTATAACTGCTCCTATCTTCCCCTCCTCCATACAAGCCATGAGCTACTTTGGTAAAGTTAACTCCTGCTTGATCCCTATACCTACTGCCTTGCCACAGCAGCCCGAGACACAGGACTTCCTCACTAGGGCTGTCCAGGAAACAGCTTGGAACCAAGTCTGGTGACTTACACCAGCAGCAATTGAGAGGCTGAGACAGGAGGATTAACATAAATTTGAGGCTAGCTTTGGTGAGCTCCAGAGCAATCTAAGCGAGAGAGAGAGAGAGAGAGAGAGAGAGAGAGAGAGAGAGAGATAGAGACTGTTGTGAAAAAAAATTTAATGGGGATTAGTGAGACATCACCAAGCCTGTCAACCTGAGTTCAATTTCAATCACTGGAACCCACATGATGAAAAGAGAGAACCTACAGAAACAAGTTGTCCTCTGACCTCTACACACATGCTGTGGTACTCACACATACATGTACGTACATGTTCACATACACACACACGCACGCACGCACGCACGCACGCACGCACGCACGCACGCACGCACGCACGCACGCACAATAATTTCTGATTTAAAAAATGAGATTAAGGATATAGCTCAGTGCCAGGTGGTGGTGGTGTACGCCTTTAGTTCTAGCACTCAGGAGGCAGAGGCAGACGGATCTCTGTGAGTTCAAGACCAGCCTGGTCTACAGAGCTAGTTCCAGGACAGCCTCCAAAGCCACAGAGAAACCCTGTCTCGAAACGCCCCCCCAAAAAAAAGAAAAGAAAAAGGATATAGCTCAGTTAGTAGAGTACTTGCCTAGCATACATGAAACCTTGAATTCACTCTGCAG